GGCGACCGATCACCTAGTGTTTCACCTTGAAAAAGTCTTTGGATTCTTTGACTATCTGATAATGATAAACGGTTCATTATCTCCCGTCTTAAGATGGTGTATGGTTGTGGTGATGGTGGATCTAAAATCAAGTCACGGACTTCTTTGGCGACTGAAGGAGGAAGGATAGAACACAAGTCTCTATAGCGGATCTCTTCAGATTTGATATTGTGTCTCGTGAAATAATGCTCTAGTTGAGCAAACCACAACTCAGGATCACTACGATCAAATTCTGGAAGTCGGGATTTCGTAGTCATAACAGTGTCTATCTCCACTGGTGACAAATCCTCCAGATTATGGGTTTCTATTGAGTCTGACATGAGGTATGTAACAAATATAGCAATAAAGTTAGCACAAAAAGTGGTTACTATAACACGAATAACTTAAGATAATACGGAACAAACTAGTTATATACTCAAATTAGTTTACGGATAATCAGGTCTACTTTTACGATTAAGTAAAAAAAATGTTAATAACAGAAATGAGGTTAAATTTGTGTTCAAAAAGGGCTCACCAATTTCGTGCCTTGAAGTAACCCTCGTGCTATTGGTAGAAGAAACCAGACAAGTAGTGAATAGGTCTTTATTTCGATCTTCGTGCAGTCACAGTGGAGCGTGGGATTATCTGTTCAGACAAACAAAGGCTCTCAGCATTCAATATAAGATAATAGGGAATATAACGCTTATGAAAAATAAGGAATTGAATGAATACTTGAACAATACTGTTTTGGCATAAGCTTGGTTGTTTGGGGTCAACTCTTAACCAACCAACCTGAGCTGTTACAGACCTATCAAACCTAGCGGGATCCTCAAATCTTCTTCAGGTCCCGCGCTAGATACATCCGAGACCTCATTCTCACGTCCCGGTCAATATAACGCGTCATCCGCACCGTCTACGGACGAGACGACAGTCTCACGTCCATATCAGCGGACCACGTCGCCCCTGACCTCGGATGAGATTGCAGGCTCACGAGATACGAACGAGACTACCGTTTCACGTTTCGGTCGCCGGGTACGGTTGCCAGTACGCTTCCGCGACTAGCAGCACAGTTAACAACCGATACGGTGTAGTATTATTCCTAAACTACACGCATGCTACACTTTTCTTGTTTTTGATTTTCTTTTTGTTTCCTGAGCCCACGCCTTCGACCATCTCCGTTTGGTACCGTCGACTTCAGTCAACTTTGGCGAAAGCTGGATTGGCCACCCACGCTCTTGTCAACGTACTCAGTCTATATTTTTGTTTCGAATGTTTGGCATACGCTTGGTCTCGAACTTCTGATTTACTTGGCACGTGTTTTTTGGTAGCGGTGTTCATAGTTAATCCCAACTCGACGCCAAGCTACAGCCCTATAGAAATGTTTACGAGGGACCCAACTAACAGCAGATTATAAATATGATGCTGGACGTCAATTTTAGTCTCACGACCACTTCCACTACTTTTTGAGTTACTTCTTTTACCCTTTCGTTTGGGAGAAAACAACAAAGTCTGAAGCTTAACATTACCAATGCAACTTTTAAACGGGAACTTCGTTTAAATTTTTGCTTGATATTCGATTCTTAATGAAAGTTCCTGAATACGTTTTTAAATCTAATACTACTTTGTTTTACCTGCTTATTAGTTGCAAGAAACTTGCGATACACGAGCCTCGCAGCACCTAGTTCATATGTAGTAAATTGAAGTGACTAAGTACATATCTTCGTCATTTTCTTGGGAAGCCTACAGATTCGGGTCCTCTCATAACTTATTCTAACCACCGTGAGTTGTCACGGCAGCTGATGGGCACGCGTTATACATCCTAACCGTACTTGCGTCTAATCTCATAGCTTCTTATTCAAATGCCATATGATAGGCAAGCAATGCTTCTACCCGCACTAATGGAACGCTAGTAACTCAATGGCACCCTGTATGGTGCCTTACATTAGTCTACCCACTCGCTTAGCTCTTTAGTGAAAATATTACTACAGTCCTGCTAAAAATCCCATGAACCCCCCTACCTCCATTAAAACAAATAAGTCTGTATTTGCTGCATATGGCAATTTTATTTTTCAGAAGTAAAATGTAACAGTTAGAATTGGAGCAAAATGACAGTATACAGCAGATGCACGTGGTACATGTCTTCATCGATTAACTGAAATAGAGAATACGGATATTAGCTTAACAGGTTTATTTAGAAAGACTATTGTCTACTTTGAACTTACTGCGTGAGAAAGTTATACTGGAACTACGAATAGTGTAGGAATCTAGACTCCTAGGGCGTACGAAGCACTCAAACCGGAAGACAGTTGTTCAAAAATAATTCGAATATGAAGGTGAGAATTTTCAAGTACTTTTCATCGTAAGGATGAACATATTAGGTACCGGTTGACATCATAACGTAAAAAAAACACAAATTTGCCAGTGGTGAAATATGATCTATAAAACAGTTAGCTTAATAACAGTTAAGTACCTTTTTACTCCCTGATCATGACCCTTCGGCTTCCTTTAATATCCAAAACAGCAAACATACATTACACGCTGATAGCAGATTTCTGGCTTTTCAATGTTAAGCTTGCTTTAACGCACTACGTAATGAGTACAACCCCTCCATTACTGCTATATGGCATATTTTTTATAACAAACCCTCTGCCATAGATTGGTAGCATCTGTGACTTAGTCTATGGTTGTCGGAAGTCTGGGTCATTTAGAAAACAATGCTGATATCCCCCACTGCTAAGCACTCAGTATTAGTTTGACTCGTTGGTGGGATATTGTTGTCCATAATACTGAAGACAATTAAAAACCGGAGATCGTTTCCTTCCATTTTGCCGATGGTATCATAAAGGACAGTTAGGAACGAACATGCGGACAATTAGTCACAAGCGGCAGCAATAATTATTTTAGCTGAAAAACGAACTTCGGCTTTGGATATCTAGTAAACAAGTTAAAGCAAAACCGATTACCATTTTAAAACATAAGACTACTCAGCTTGGCTGAAGAAATACATTGATTTGAGTAGAAGCAGCAAAAACCCAAAAAACAATACTGATTCAAAATAAATTTCACACCAACATATAGAACATTACACTAACTGCGGCATTTTAGCACACTGAAACATTAAATTATATAGCTACACAAAAGAAACAGCTGAAAAAAGCACAGAACCAAGAAGGCCGACCGCCATTGCTCACAAAGATAGCGGATATAATAAATCCCGCCTCATTCTGATTGGTCGCTAAGGTGAAGGCCACATTTACGAAATTGAGTTGCGTTTAACAGCAGCCTACACAAACGGATAAGTTGGGGTTTCCATCTGCAAGCCCTCGTTTGCGCGTGTTGATGAGTAGATTGTGGTGTTACAGCAGGTCTGTATCAACGATTGGCATAGAAACATCTGCGACAACGAAGGTCCTGTGGATAGGTATGAGTAAACACACGTTATGATAAGTATACCGCCTACCATATTTGGCGATGGATGCCGATTCGCCACTTGTAAGTTGAAAACTGCTTCATGCAGTCGGTCGTTAGAATTCACTGGAAGAACACTAACTCCTGCGCCAGTATCAACGAGGTAGCGAAATTCAGTGACGTGAAACAGACAGCTATGTCCTCCGGCTACGGTTGTCGTTATCGAATGCCGGCTAGGAAGTTTCTCGAAACGTTTTTCGTGTCAGTCGGTTTGAAGTTCGGAAAATTTCAGGGTTTTCTGCAATTTTGAGAAGATTTTCCGAAGTGATTATGATACTAACACCAGTCGAGGTTATTTGTCTCTCGTGGTCTAAAGCCACATTGTTTTCGTGAAAAACTACTCCAAAGGTTTTTTTGATCACTTATCGTCATTACGAACTGGATGGTAACGTGTCAGAGTACGTCATAGTTCCGTAACGTCACTTCGTGTTGTTTGAGGTTTGACCGAAAAAACTTCGGCGTTAGAAGATTCGGTGATCTCTAGAATACGTTCGGCAGATTCAGAGAGCTCATCTACGGCGTTGTTTCGAAACGAGACAAGCACTGCTTGCTTGAGGAAGTTTAGACAGGGAAAATTATGTAAACAGTTCATCGTTGAAGGCCCGTTGACCGATGTCCTCGTTCATTTGTAACAATATGTCTGCTGCTGAGCCACGTTGTAGGTCGATGTTATTGGGAAGTTGATCTAACGTTTGTCGATCGGTTAGATCTCTGCGCTTCAGAGTAGCCCGTTTTAGAGTTTCATAAGGTTCCGAAACACCACTAGTAAAAATCCTAGGTCTAGCGTCTTTACCGCTTCGAGAAATTGTGCACAGGGACCGGTCACGCTGTGTTCGTAGAAGTCAGCCTTTGCGTAGCAGAACCCGGCTTCAGTGTCGTCTGGCCAGCATGGTATTGGGTGGAACGAAGATGACGTTATAGTCTTGAACATAAGTACTTTAGGAGTCGGTTCTGTTGTGGCGAATATGAAACACAGGAATAAGCAGAGAAAAAACATCGAAAAATCCTAAAAACTTAAAGTAAAGCAATTATACATAGAGTTCCAGAAAGGAGCAAACTCTCAATTTACTAGTTAATATACCAGATCACGTCGGCTTACCGATGAAGATGGCACAAGTATTCGTAGTTAGACATCACTTCAAACAGTATGCCTTGTATAATCGAATCGTGCCCACCGAGTGAAATCAAAAGTCTATGTCCAAAAGTGACATGCAGTATCTACTATGAGACAAGTGCTCTCCAACTTTACGATAGCTAGCGAAATAGCAGATGAAAGTCAAGGATGTATGTTAGAAAAATGGTGTTTAAACCCATGACATCTGAAATCAGTCACTAACTAGGTATTCATCAGTCTCAAGAAAACCCTGAATGACCCGTGATTCGCTCATATTCTCCTACACGTGCTATAAAATGACTTAAAATTTCGAAAATCTGACAATTCTGTTAACAGAAAAAACACATCTACTAACATGATATTCACCCAAGCGCAGAAAAGCTTGTTTTAACCAATAAAACGAACAGTTAGCTAATAAGTTATAACCCCGTCTTTTCAATCCCTATTTCATACAGGTTTTCCTATTCACCTAAAACATAGAAAGTATGAGTGTACTTTTAATCATGTTGTGATCACACATAAATTTATAATTAGTTATGAAATCCAAAGTGAGTTCAGTACTTCATCTTATGTTGTGTCCGGTCACATACTGTATACAGTTGTGTTTTCGTTGGGAAATACAGATTTTCCTAAGCAACACAAAAAGGGGAAATAAAGGCGAACAAAGGGGAAATAAAGGGGTAAATGCTTTGGTAGCGAAAGGGGAAAACGCATCAGAATGTCGCCTTTTTCGCCTGTCCGGGGGAAATAATGCGGATTTTCCCCTTTTTCGCCTTTTTGTCGACAAATTACCTTTATTTCCCCTTTCGCTACCAAAGCATTTACCCCTTTATTTCTCCTTTGTTCGCCTTTATTTCCCATTTTTGTGTTGCTTGGGTCAATCTTCAGTAATAAGGATAGGAGGTCTGTCGACCTATATTAATCCTTGCAGTTTGTAATACTGTGGAGGTCCAATCTCGTTTTGAATATATTAACAGACGGTACTGATATTACGTGTTCCGGTAGAGAATTCCAGTAATTCACTACTCGGTGCGAGAAACGGAACTCCATGGAGTCTGCAGACGTAAACTGTTTGATCTCGGTTTTTGAACTTTCTTCGAATGTCTTCTCAAATGATCGGTTCTAGACGGAAGCAAAAGATAAGACATGTTAATACCAATGTTATCGTTCAGTATACGATAAGCCAATATTAGATCACTCCGTACTCTACGGTAAGATAACGGAAATAAGTTAAGGTGTCTCAGTCTGTCTTCATAAGATAGGCCAGCTAGACCTTGCACCATCTTAGTAGCACGTCGTTGGACTCTTTCTAGCATATCTGCTTCATATTTGAAACAAGGACTCGCTGCTTGAATCCCGTATTCTAAATGTGGTCGCACATAAATCGGGTATAGTAATCCAAACATTTCATCATCTAAATACTGAAAAGACCTACGAATTGACCATAATACCCTATAGCCTTTTGCAGCAGCAACCTTACAGTGACTAGTTGTTTTGAGATCATTGCTTAATATAACTCCTAAGTCTTTATAGTTTCTTGCTTTGTGTAGCACGAATCCACGTAGTGTATAGTCATACGATTCATCAGAGTTATTTAACTGCATCACTACACTCTTATTAGGAGTTACTTCTAGTGACCACCTGTCTAAACATGCCACCAATCAGCTAAGATCGTCCTGTAATACTATTCTATCCGACATACTGTGTATGGGTCTCCAAATTTTTATGTCATCAGCGAAGAGTAGAACGGATGATTTTGCTACAGTTGGCAATTCATTTACATAAAGTAAAAAGAGAAGAGGACCTAGAATTGTGCCTTGAGGAACCCCACTTTTTACAGGTACCCACGAGGAGAGAGCCCCATTAACCCTTACCCTTTGTCTCCTGTCATGGAGAAAGTTACTTATCCAATCGACGACTGTGTTATGGATTCCAAAACGTTTCAGTTTGAATTTAAGACCAGAGTGTGAAACCTTATCAAAGGCTTTACTTAGATCTATGAAAATTACATCCACAGGAGCATTCCGATCCTTTGCCGCAGCCCACTCTTCTCGTGCAGTGAGAAGATTTGTCAAGCAAGATAGGCCTTTCCGAAAACCATGTTGTGCCCTGGAGAAAAGATTTTGCCCTTCAACATAGTTTATAACAGCTATCCGAATGATTTTCTCCATCAGTTTCACAACTGCACTAGTTAAGCTAACGGGTCTATAGTTACTAACTAAATCCCTACTCCCAGCCTTATACACCGGACTTATTATGGCGTCTTTCCAGTCTCTAGGAAGTCTGGACTGTCTCAGAGACATGTCGAATAGTATCACTAATGGTTCAGCAATTTCATCTGATATGGCTTTCATAATCCTAGGATGAATATCATCGGGACCACTGGACTTATCAGGTTTGAGATGCTGAAGTAGCCTTAAAACAGTATCTTTCTCAATGACTACAGGATCCATCAGCGAGCCGTCACGGTCACGATGAATCATTGGTCGTTCCTCATTACCGATAGAAAACACTTTACTAAAATATTCCGATAAAGCTTCAGCTTTTTCGGCATCATTCTCTGCTAAGATTAACGGATTGTTTCGTATCAAAAGTGATGGAATTCCATCGCTTCTCTTAGTTCGCCTTTTTATATACGAGAATAACCGTTTCGGACTATATCTAGAATCCCTAACCAACTTTTTTCGTATGAATGTCTAGTCTTGCTTATTAACGCTTTACAGGCATTCCTAATCTTACAATAACTGGATCTGTATTGTTCTAAGCCAGTAGAGATGAACATATTCCAGTGATTCTCCCTTTTTTTAAAGGAGTTTTCTGACCGTTTTAGTTATCCATGGTGGACTATTATTCGGTCTTCGCGGTACCAGGTATGGTATGAACGGGGACGTAACTAGTCTAAATTTACCTTTAAATACAGACCATGCTTCTTCAACTGATATGCTAGTATCTACTAACCAATCTGTCTTAGCAGCACATTCCTGAATGGCTGATATGTTAGCTTTCCATACATTTGGGCGCGGTGTAACCTGATCGTATAACATGTCCCTAGTTCTGAACGCGAATGACAAAACAGCGTGATCGCTGTTTACTAACGGTGGAAGAATATTTAAGTCGACAATATCCCCAGTCTCATGAGTGATTACCAAATCCAGCAGAGAAGAACCCTGGTTAACACCAGAACGTGTGGGTTGGGATACATGCTGCACTAGTGCATGCTCCATTATTGTTATCAGTAACCTACTATCAAAGGAGTTTATAGATCCTTCTGTGGTCATATCAGTCCAACTAATATCAGGTGCGTTAAAGTCTCCTATTATCAAGCACCTGGTATTATCACTCCAAAGATGAATGTGCTCTAAAACAAAGTCATCAGCTAAGCAGATTGGGCTCCGATAGATGACACCTAGCATAAATGTACTACATCCTATAGTCAACTTACAGCTAATGACTTCACAAGTGCAGCTATCATGGGATTCGCTAGTAGAGGAGCGGATATTTATGCCATTGGTTATATATAACAGGACGCCGCCTCCTTTTTTACATCTATGTCTATCACTCCTGATGCAATGGTATCCAGATAATTCTGGAGTAATGTCTAAGTCATGGACTAACCAAGTTTCTGTCACTGCTACTATGAGTGGCTTCAACCTGTCTACTAGTGCTTCTAGTTCATAGAACTTATTTCGTAAACTACGAGCGTTGGCATATAAAACTCCTAAGTAGAACAGCCTATCCACACAGGCCTTGGTAGCATTCGCTTCCAAGACCTGACTATCCGAAAACCCACTAGTCGGAGATTTTCCTCGCCGTTTTGCCGACGGGTTTCAAGCTCAGCTAGTGCTTTCTTCCTTTTTATTCTATATTCAAGAGACATTTCAGGTCTAACTCGGATGTCAGAATTGTCGTGACAACGAGCGCTACTTAACAAGAGATCCCGTTGCTTCTCCGATCCTAGGATTACCTTAAGGAGTCTGCATGGACGGGGTTCAACATTGTCCTCGGTCCTCTTGCCTATTCTTACCAATTTTTTGACCTGAACTTCTTTGGAGTTATCTGGTAAAATACTACGAATGTATTCTCCTAACTTTTCTAAGTCATGCGCGTGTCTAATTTTCGGATCAGGGTCGTTTGACTCCCGCAATTCTCTCACAATAATATTCGATGTTATTAGATTTTTCTTCTCAGTCACGCCAGGATGGGTTTCACTCTTACCATCAGATCTTGGTAGTGCAATTTGTGGCTCACAATATGAGTCCACCAGTGAGTTACTAACTACCTGTGTACTACTTACAGCTTTTTTCTTTTCGTTTCGTTTCCTACGTACCGTAGTCCATTTTTCATCCCTCATAACACTGGGACTATTTGGAACGGTGACTGTTTTATCCAGATCTTCGGTTCCCATTAAAGGTGCATTATTAACAATGTCAGTACCAGGTGGTACTACTCCCCCTGTTAATGTCAACGAAGATTCCACTTTTACGTCGGTCAGAGTCGGTTGTTTGAGGCGTCGCGTAACAGCAGGTACTACACTGACACATTCGTCGCTGTCAGTGCTCATGTTGTCAGCGCATATGCCATCCTTCTTTTTACAGGCCAAAGCCAACAGGCTCATAGCCTCCTGTATTAGTAATGCCTTGTTGGCACAGCAAAACATGCAAAGCCAATGTGAGTTAGGCTTCGAGCATCTTTTGTATGCGGTGGGACTTAAGCGGGTGCACATTTTGTGGAACCATTTATGGCATTCGTCACACTGCATTCCCCCTTCCACAGGGAACAAACAGTTTGGTTGTCCACATTTGTGAGTACTACCAACCATTTTAGTCTGATCAAAGTGTAATACACAATATGATCACAGTATGAACACAAATGTCAGTCAACGAATAAAAGGTTACCACAAGAAAAACTTTAGCAAGATTTCAAACCTTAACCAAAGTACTTTGACACAGACCAAGAATGCTTCGAACGTAATAAATACACAAAGCCAAAAAAACTCAACAGAATATCACTTTAACTGTATTAGATTCAATTAAAGTGTAAATCGTAGTTTTGATACGTAATTTACGATCATAACAATTTACTAATTCAACGAGAAACAATACCACTGCCCTTTTTAGATAGCGCGCCAAATCTAGAGTATATACTCTATGCACGGTGATCATAATTTCCTAACTTTAATATTTCAAATTTTCCAAATAATTTCGGTGAGTTAATGAGAAAACATTTCGAGACATACTTCTTGGTGGACGATCGTGTACCAGACAAACCACTCATTGATGCCTGCAGACGGTTCAGTGTTTAATTAGTGAGGTTGTGACCATAACCCTCAATGTTCGCCTTATTGTCCTACTATTAAGACACTTTTAAAGTAATTTGTCAGTAGACTAAATAGTTTGGCCGTTTTCACACTTTAAAAGATTTGGATGAGATTGAAATGTCATTTTCTAGTGGTTAGTTCATTATGCAAGGTGCAAACCTATTCATATGAACTACTCAGATAGGGTTCTTATGGTGCTTGATGTGGACAATTCAAATATACATGATTGTATACTCATTTTTGAATCGGATATTTGACTGATCGTATGACTATTAAATGCATTCATTCAGTTTTATTGGTCAACTTGTGCTGAGTTGTTCAACTAATCTGAATGCTTTATGTGCATAACCCAGTCCTCTATTTGTTTCACTACAATACCACTTATGGTCATTCCAAGTGCCAATGTCAATATAAATTAAACTCAATCACAAAGAGGTCTAATTCGGGTTAATAATTCAGTCCAGTTGCGTCCCCTCACTCACATTATGCTTTCATTATTCAGTGCTACTGTACTTGTTAACTAATTCAAGTACTTAAATATGCATCTGAAAGTGTTCATATTCTAGTTCGTATTTATTTCATCTATCGGCCATCAAGTATAAAGATAACGAATATAACAAATAGCCTCATTAGCATAGGACATATGAATTATGTTATAGCTATACGGAAGAAATATATATGCAAAATTTAGTATTACTAACAAGCGATATCAGTCGTATGTTAGAAGCAGTCCATCGTCAAATAATTCTCATGTGTCTATTTCACACCATGAGACAATTTCAAATGTTATATCCTGTGAGAAGTAAGTCGTATAAGATATTTCTAGTTTAAAACGTGATTTGAATCAAATGGAAGATGGCAATACAGACATTAAAATGTTAAGCTTTCATGTTTATCCCAGTGACTAATACTTCACACAATACATAAAGTTTAATTATTCTGATGGCAGATATGTAGTATATACTCTAACAAAACGATCAATACAGAAGAGAGACATTTAGTGATTAGCTATTTTTCAAAAAAAGAGAGAACTGTCGTTTATTGTAGTTAAACCTCTATTGCATGATACTAATATGATAACTGTGGATATAAAGTCTTGCTATTGGGATATAGTGGAGCTTAATATATCTGAAAAACCAATTTCATTTATTCTTTATGGTGACAATGAATTACTCACATTTTTATGATTAAATACAACTATTTATTAACATTCATATATTATGTTTTAATCCTTAATTCAAGTTCAGATGGTTATACAAGTCCAGTTACACGTTATTTGCTTAACGATAAGGAAATTTATGATTTCGGAGGGGAAAAAGATCTAATGTTTTCCCATTATTTATTCTACCACATATGCGTTCTGCAACGAGTTCATAACAATGACAACAAGATAGAGTTCCCAAATACTTTACACAATCTAAAGCTTAGTTGATAGTTTTTTTTCGCCTATTATATTTTCCTTACTTATTGTGGACACAGATTTATAGCAAATGTTAGTTCTATACTGGTTTAATGAGTAAATAGATGAATAAATGTTTGGATAGGCAGATATATGAAAAAAAAAACACCCAAACCAGTGAACATGGTGTCTAGATTGTATGCAATATAATTAACTTATATTGATTAATTGTCCTCACTGTTTTTTATACCTAATTAATATCAGTTTTATAATTAGAATGTATTTTATAAATAGATGAATAGTTAAAATGCGTGTGATAGATTTGACAAAGTGTAAAATGGCCATATTCTAAATTGTAGTTGAATGTAACTCTTGATCTTATTATTTACAGTTTAATAGAAATTAAGTAAGACTATAGTGTTTCATTTTGTTTTCTCAACTTTATATTGTAAACACTTTATCCACTTTTTATCCTGATATCCAGTTTAATTACATTTTCCATGTAAATTATAAAACACCAAAAGATTCTTTGATATATTTGGACTATGGCTCGTAGTGTGTTCGAGGAAACGCATGTCTCGTCTTCTCTGGAACTCGTCAGCTGAATACTTTTCTCAATTTCAGTTAATCCGTCATATTACGTGATCATCACCATCAGTCGTAATTTCTCAAAAAAAACATCGAGAGATTCTTTTAAAAACCAGTTACTAGGGTGAGCACAGTTCCTTTTTGGTACGTGAAAGGAAAACATACTTTATTATTTCTCGTTATGACTTTGTGTTTATTAAACACTTAATTAGTTGAAATAAATATAACTTCAAACATTTGATTCGACCAGTTATACTGCTGTATCAGTGTAGTAAATGAGATAAAAGAATAATAGCGAATAAGTATAAAGTAAAAAAAGTACTGTGATAGATTCAAAACATTTTCTATATTGTATTGTGTAATATTTATCCATTGATTTAACAGCCAATCGATGACTGCTGAGAGTTTCCAACAAATAACTATATATCTATATCTATATCTATATCTATATCTATATATATATATATATATACATTTACTAAACATTGTGAGCTATCTTATTTACAAACTATTGTCACATAATATTTTATTATCTTTCAGTTCTAAGAAATAAGCTGAAAAAATTTCACTTTAAAGAGAAAACACTTTGACATCCTCGGAATGATAATTTTTAAACAATTGTTTTGGCTTAAATCGGATTTACAAGCTAGATGACTACACAGAATATTTTCAGAACAACTCTTATTGTAACCTGACGCAAAGTTTCTCCTCAAAGTAACATCAAGTTCTACTTGAGTTACACTAATTCCTCAGCTGACGTCAATTATTGTTGAAAAATCTCTTTAAACAGTTCATTCTTTCAATATAAGAATCCAGTTCATACTACATAGAGAGTTATTCATTCCATATAAATTATGGAATTTTTGTTTTTACCTAAATGTATTCGTGCATTCGCTCACATAAATTATTTAATACTATAATGTCTACAACAGATGCTGTGACATTTTGAGAATATACGTTAACTAGGATTGGGGAAAAAGAGCGAGAAGTAAATCATAATAGTTTACAGTATCTTTAGTATCTAATTCATTTATTGTTATAGCTTGTAGTCGGCACTTGTTATAACTTGTGGTCTATATGCCCTGTTAATGTATAAAGTAATGACGCTGCCAATTAGTGAACAGTGAATTATCGATCGGATAAATGACGCATAAAACACGTACGAGTAGCCTAGAGTCCTTTATCGGTCCTGCTTCCCGCCTAGCCCAACCTGTTAAGTTCAGAACACCAATCTCAGCCTTTGCAATATGAATCATTTATTTCAAACATACTGGGTTTATATGCCAACCAGATAGGCCACATCGTACCATAAAGTAGGAAACAACATTTGTACAAGATATAGCCAAAAGTGGCCGTGAATAAGGCAGATAGTAAGTGATAGACGGGGCATAACTCAAGAATGGTAAATCGTAGAATAATAGTTCATAAGTCAAAATAAAGCTCATAATAAGAGGAACACGAATATGAATAGTTCAGTCATTTAACAATTATACTTTAAAAATGTACTCATAGTATTGACCCATAAATGGATCCCAAAAATTACCATTCATTATTCTTATCGGGATATAACGTTTATAAATCCATTCATAAATTAGATTAATACGACCGGTTAGACTAATAGTGTCTCACATCTGCATATTTATATTTAACTGTTTATCCATAGTGATAAATAAACCACTTAGATATTACAAAATATCTACCATGTGGTAATCTCTTGGTCACATAAAAAAACATATTGATATCACTGTAACTTCCGTCCAAAGGGAAATTTTAAAAGTAAAAATTTTTACATATATTTCGATTTTAGATATATTGCTTTCTAGGTTATACCATCATAATGTTCCACCAGGATTTTGCTTCAAAAATGAACGAAGTTGGTTTAAACTCATATTATCCATACCACTCCCCCAGTTACTAATGAATCATCACCGTACTAATTGAAAGCTGAATTCATGGTCTCTGTCAACAATGCTTTAATCAAAAATTTTAGATGTTCGTTTTATGTGAAAAGAACGTATAAGATCGACATTTAGTGACTGAAGACAGAGGTCTGAAAATTGAGTGACAATAGAGCTATGAAATTCAAAACTCGACATTTCTACACTATGGAGCTGCAACTTAATGATCGTCCTGATAGGAGAAGTAAACGTCAAGGTCGAGATGGACAACATAGAATATGAACGCCTCATGTAGAGATATGGACTGAAAGAAGAAAAACGAGAGTGGTGAGAGAACAATATAACTATGCACCTTCAACACCATAGTTGTTAGCGGCAGTATTTATCCCATCAGTACACGCACGAACCTACATGTGTTTTACCGGACTACACTACGGAAAACCAGATTGATTACATATGCATGAATTAAGAACTCAAAAGGTTCATCCAAGACGTGGGATTAAAGAGAGGAGTTGATATAGATTTATATCACCACCTGGTTGGTGGTTGCCAAACTGAAACTAAAGCTCGAAAATATTGGACAATTGAACAAGCAGCTATAGAATAGTTTGACATTGAATATCGTCCAACCGATACTGATTTTTTTCAGACCATTATTTGCAGAGATGCTACACATCACTTCAGAAGGGTATCAGAAGAACAACAAATACTACCAGACCTCACAAAGTACTAAAAAGAAGAGATCTCACTAAGTGTGGGAACTACAATGGGACCTCACTATTATCAGCACTGGAGAAACTCTTCAACAAAATGTTGCTGAAGGAAGAGAAATATCCAGTAGACTCCAAACTTAGGGATTAGCAAGCTGGCCTTCATATAAGTTGATCGCGTGCCAACGAAATCCAAACGCTATGGATCATTGTTGAACCATTAATCCAATGAAACTTATTTCTGTAGATCAACTTCCTTCATTATGAGGAATCATTCGACAGTGTGCATAGAAAAATCTTGCGGAATCGACACTACTAAGTATCTAGGATGATCACCACCATCTTATGGGACTCCCATCAGGGGCTAAATAGCAAAGTCATGCATGGAGTGTAGCTTACAGATTCATTCCATGTGAAGACTGATGCGAGACAAGACTGCTCACTCTCTCCTTTCCTGTTAGTTTTCGCTGTTGACTTGATAATGAAGACCTTCAAATCTCAGGAGGTACATGGAATACAGTGAACACCCTGGATGCAGATGGACGACTTGGACTTTGCAGATGACCCAGTCCATCTATCCCACATACAACATCAAATGAAGGGGAAGATAGGTAGTATAGCAGCAGCCTCTTCAGAAGTAGGTCTGAATATTCACAAGGAAAAAAATAAGGTCATAAAGTGCGAAACAGAAAGCACCATTCAAGTCACAATTGATGTAGTATCTCTCAAGGTGGTAGAAGCCGTCATGTACCTGGGCAGCATCGTTGATAAACAAGGAGGATCTGATGCAGGTATCAAGTCACAAATCGGCCATACAATGGCAGAGTAACAGTAGTTAAATTGTATCTAGAGCTCAGAAGAATCCATTCAATACCAACACCAGCACCAAAATCAATTCAGAATTATTGGGAATAACACTGACGAAGTCCTATTGTATGGAGCTGAAACCTGGCGAACCACCATCACCAAAACGGTACAAGTATTCACAAACAACTGTCTACCAAAAATACTCCAGAACCATTGGTCAGAGACCATCAGCAATAACCTATTCGGACAGAAAGTAAACCAGTTGGCAGTTGAGAGAGTAATTAGGAAAAGCTACTGGGGGATTATTAGATAAAACATACATCGTGGAAACCAAGCAACTGCAGCGCAAAGCAAGCTCTAACTTGGGATCCTTAGGGGAACAGAAGAGGTTGCAGACCAAAGGACATTAAAAGCATGAATAGAACATGGCAAAAAATTGAAAAGAGAGTCCTGGATAGATCCTGTTGAAGGTGCCTGGTCAGCGGCCTCTTTCTCAAGAGGGTTGAGTATCTCTAGGGATCTACAGCTACCAAAACTACTTTCAAGTTATGTGATGCTACTCAATTGCTATGTAAGTAGTTTTGAGCAATTTTTAAAAATTCAAGATTGATGAACGAAGACAGACCATGCAAATTTGTTATTTATAGAGAGGTATTTCACTTTATTGTAAAACTGCCTAACTGCATTGAAAAACGAATTAATATGACTTTCTCTTTGGTAGTTGATAATTAATTAGGCGAAAAGTGTCTACGTAAGATCTCTGAGAATCTACGTATTCAGATCTTTTTGTCACAGTATACGCATTAAGGACCGATTCAGTTATATAAATGCCGCTGTTTGTTTACGAAGCACTTGCAACATAAATAAGATGAAATGTAGCTAATATTCAAAGTCAGTTCAAAGAGACAAAAAAGTATCAAACTAAAACTGGTTTTTGGGCCAGTCATACGGACGATGCACATCAAAAGTTTTTCATTGGCATAATCCGAAAATATAAATATTTGGTTGATTGGTTGATGATTTGTGTGGATAATAGATTCTTCATCTGATCCAACCCTCGATTTAGCAATCGATTTAATCATCAATTGAGTGATTAATGGATTCATATAATTCTCCATTTTTCCTGTCGTTCGTCTTTTATTAGAATCCTGCATACATTTGAAGTGATCTTCATTTTGTTATTTAACTGTTTTTAATCTAGTTGAACAAGAAAATCTTCAGACACTTGACAGTAACACAGATACTACCATTTAATCTCAGATACACAACAGCGAATTTTTCGATCCCACTATAATAAGACAAGCAATACTGGTTATTTGCTATTCTGACTTTATTATTTAGTGCAATTCTAGAAACTGCTGTAGTTCCGACTCATATTCAAGTACATTAGAATCTAAAATTTAATACATAAAGAGCAAGCCAAAATATTATGTCTACATGAAGAAATTAAAACACTGTGATTTAATCACTTCTAAATACTCATTGCGTGAATCGAGAAAGGATCATGTAAATAAATTGGATTTTAAAAATCAAAACTCCCAGTCTACCTCAAATCTTAGTAGACAAATCAATGGGAGTAATAGTAGCAGGAGAACAAAGTGTGTTCATCGTGAAAATTCTACTTCATCTAAAAATATGTACAAATTAGGTAAGTTTATTCAAAAATCTCTCCACAATGCTTTAATGTTAACTAATAGTTATTTAACAACAAAGAATATTAGGGTGAACAATTATTTTCAATAACTTCATCATCAGGTTTTACAGTTATAAGTCCATAATTATTGTGATATATTGCAAAGGCCAAAATAAGATATGAATTAATGAATTCGACAATGTTATATGTTAAAAATGGTGAACGTTTGCATCTGTTACGACACATATACCCCGAAATTGTGCTATTTGTAAATTAGGAAGGTCATCTAATAAATTCACTTAGTATTGTTTACTTGAATCTTCCCATTGATGTTTAGGACTGCAACTGATCAGTCTCTTATTTTCATATGTTCATACTGTGTGTATTGCCTCCATATTGCTTTAAGTCACAAGCATTATAAGCAAGGGTGGATGGTGGCTAACAGTGGAATCCAGGACGCGCGTTTCGTCCTATTTGGGACTCGTCAGCTGGATGTACATATGCCAATAAGAGACTCATCAATTGCAGTCCTAAACATCATTCGGAAGACTCAAGCAAACAATACCAAGTGAATCTAAACTTCACCCCATTGCATAAGCTAGTGGTTATCCGAATTGAGTAAGTAAATGGATAATGCGATGGCATTTGAAGCGAATGGTGCTGGGTTCGAGTCCTGGAGCGGACATCAACTCTGAGATGTAGGTACATCCAGCTGGCGAGTCCCGAATAAGACGAAACGAACGTCCTGGATTCCACTGCTAGCCACCATCCATTTCTGTTTATAGTCATATAGTAAAGGTCAGAATAATTTATTGTAAAGGGTCAAGTTATAATCAATATGATGATAACACAATAAATCGTGTCAATAAAATGCATAGTAAGAGAATTTCGTCTTATTAGTCGACGTAATAATAATAGCAATTATAATAATGATAATAATAACAATAATAGCTTGTGAATACAATATATTATAATGGGGGTGTTGCAAGGTAATTATGATAAAAAAATTCATGTGAATTGAAAAAGAGGAATATGTAGATTCAGATAGATAAAAAACACAAAAAGAATTGAGAGGAGGGGATTAAAGGGTTCATAATGTCCAATTTAGGTATCTAGTGATCCAATTGTGAACCAAGGTAAACACAGAGGCTGCATGTACCTCTTCTGAATACATAAGTGAGGTTCTAGAGTTGATGCAGATGGCTTCATTTATGCAGAGGAGTAGTAATCTAGCTCCTTTAGGTAGATTATTTGGAACTTGACAGAAAGCGGGAAAGCATTATTTATTTCGATATGATGTTTATTATCTACCAAGCGAGGAGTGGCACTGTTTCTGGATTTAGTGACTCCTTTCCCTAACCATGATGGTACATAGATATTAATGCTGTGGTTAGACTTGATAGTTCCAAATAAATTGAGCACTGGGTAGAAAGTTTATGATGAATATATTTTTTGTTATATCCCAAAGAACAGAAAATAGTATTTCTGACGTTTCGTAACTTGATGTAAACTGCTTCTTCAGGGTAAATAAATAACCGAATTAATTCGGCTGTTTTCTACTCCTCGGGGTATAACAAAAAATATATTTATTATATGTTCACAAGCTCTCAAGGATCAAGCCCTCTGAGTACGGCTGTTGTAACAAGCCCCAGTCAGTCAGCTGCGACGTAGGACCATGCACATATATGCATCGGTTTAAGTTGTCATACCTCATTAACACAACAAGATGAACACCGGATTCATAAAAGTAGTCACTTCAATGGTAGTAATATATAAAAGATTGTGTATAAAGATATAATATAGGAAGAAAGAGTTAGTTCGTAGAAATAAAGGTATAAGGCAATTTTAATCTCACTGTTTAAGGGAAGACAGAAGGTGTATACACTTACGCCATTGCGATCGATTCTGAGCCATGTCACCCAGAGTCTCCATCCATTTGTTACGATAGTCACGTGGACCCCAACCAAGTTGTCTGCATCTACCAACATGGCTCAGACTAGAAATTAGTGACTTCAATGACTGATGCCACGTTTTGGTTTGGCCGCCTTTAACTTTCTTCCAACCATTCCCAACACTAGTCAGCATTCCGCGTCGTGGTAATTGGCGTTCAGGCATACGTAACACGTGGCCCAACCATCTCAGTCAATGAAGATTCACAACCTCATAAACTGATTTACCCTTATTCCCTAATACCCTGCGTCTAACCTCGCTATTATTTACCCCGTAATATACACACATAGAGGAGCCCATCATCGGTAGCCTAGCCTCGATTTATTGTAAGTACTGGTTTGTTTGAGATTGCATGTAACTTAGCGGAGTGAGATGTGTTTTCAAAAAAGTCTTTTGAATGGACTTACCAAAATGCCACCCGCCATGTCCCCTTTAAAATCGAGTTTTAGATAGAGGTTTTTCTTGCTGACTGTGTCTTGTTCCTTTTTTACCTTCTGATAGAAATTTTCTGATAAAATTATCTGGATAGCCATTATCTCGTAATAACTCCGCCTGTAGCTCTTCTAGAGTTACTGCCGGTCCCAAGCCCGGGTAAAGGAGGAGGGTTGGGCATGGGGTTAGCGTCCCCATCCCGTAGAAAACTAACTCGCTAAAAAAACGCTTACCAGAAAAAATAATTCAAACCATTTTAACTCTGCCCTGAGAGTTAGAAGGTCTTCATTTAGAAGAATTATGACGCTTCATGGTGAAAGCCGAGTTCCTTCGGAAGCCACGAGGCCGATGCCCCTTCTAACAACCAGAGCAAAACTTTTTATAGGTACATGGAACGTTCGAACAATGTGGGAAACCGGGAAGACTAGCCAAATAGCAACGGAAATGAGGAGATACAACTTGGCAGTACTGGGAATCAGCGAAACCCACTGGACCCAAGCTGGACAGAAAAGGCTAGCTACGGGAGAGATGCTGCTATACTCCGGTCACGAAGAGGAAAATGCTCCACACACTCAGGGAGTTGCTCTAATGCTGTCCAAAGTAGCACGAAATGCACTTGTAGGATGGGAATCCCACGGATCCAGAATCATCAAAGCATCATTCAAAACAAAGAAGGAGGGGATCTTAATGAATATTATCCAATGTTATGCACCCACCAATGATAGCAACGACGACATTAAAGATCAATTCTACGAGCGGCTGCAGTCAATCATTGAGAAATGCTCAAGAAAGGACCTCACCATTCTGATGGGAGATCTAAATGCCAAGGTCGGAACAGACAACACTGGATATGAAGATATTATGGGACGACATGGACTGGGAGAAAGAAACGAAAATGGAGAAAGATTTGCAAATTTGTGTGCATTCAACAAATTAGTCATAGGAGGCACAATATTTCCACACAAACGTATACACAAGGCTACATGGATCTCACCGGACCACACTACAGAGAACCAGATAGACCATATTTGCATCAACAAAAAATTCCGAAGGACAATGGAAGATGTGAGAACCAGGAGAGGAGCTGACGTAGCTTCAGATCACCACCTAGTTGTAGCCAATTTAAAACTGAAGCTAAAAAAGAACTAGACAACTGGACAAACAGCAATACAAAGGTTCAATACAGCCTTCCTTCGAGATACTGACAAACTCAATGAATTCAAGATAGCTCTCAACAACAGGTTCCAAGCCTTTCAAGATCTACTGAAGGAAGAAGAAACTACTATGGAGGACAACTGGAAAGGCATCAAAGAAACATTGACTTCAACGTGTCAAGAGGTTCTGGGCCTAAAGAAACACCATCATAAGGAATGGATCTCTATAGAAACACTGGACAAGATCAAAGAAAGGAAGAACAAGAAGACAGCAATTAACAACAGCCGAACACGAGCAGAGAAAGTCCAAGCACAAGCTGAATACATAGAAGCAAACAAGCAAGTGAAGAGGAGCATTAGAGCCGACAGGAAGAAATACGTGGAAGAATTAGCAACGACGGCAGAAAAAGCTGCTAGAGAAGGAAATATGAAACAGCTTTACGATACAACGAAGAAACTATCAGGGAAATACAGTAAACCAGAGAGGCCGGTCAAAGACAAAGAAGGCAAGCCAATCACTGAAATTCAACAACAGCGAAACAGATGGGTAGAATACTTCGAGGAACTCCTGAATAGGCCGGCTCCAATGAATCCACCGAACATCGAAGCAGCACACACAGATCTTCCTATAGATGTCAACCCACCAACGACGGAAGAAATTAGAATGGCCGTCAGACAAATCAAGAACGGGAAAGCAGCAGGACCCGACAACATACCAGCTGAAGCACTGAAATCAGACGTCGAAGTAACCACAAGCATGCTTTACCCTCTATTCAAAAAGATTTGGGAGGAGGAACAAGTGCCAATGGACTGGAAAGAAGGACACCTCGTCAAGATTCCAAAGAAAGGAGATCTGAGCAAATGTGAAAACTACAGAGGCATCACACTACTGTCAATACCAGGGAAAGTCTTCAACAGAGTGTTGCTGAACCGGATGAAGGATGCAGTAGATGCCCAACTTCGAGATCAACAAGCTGGATTCCGAAAGGATCGGTCGTGCACAGACCAAATTGCAACACTACGGATCATCGTCGAACAATCAGTTGAGTGGAACTCGTCACTGTACATCAACTTCATTGATTATGAAAAGGCATTCGACAGTGTAGATAGGAGGACATTATGGAAACTTCTTCGACATTACGGAGTTCCTGAGAAGATTGTCAATATTATCCGGAACTCATACGACGGACTACAGTGCAAAGTAGTGCATGGAGGACAGCTGACAGATGCATTCCAAGTAAGGACCGGAGTCAGACAAGGCTGTTTACTCTCTCCCTTCCTCTTTCTTCTGATGGTCGACTGGATTATAAAGACCTCGACATCTGAAGGAAAACACGGAATACAATGGACAGCTCAGAACCAATTAGACGATCTGGACTTCGCAGATGACCTAGCCCTCCTATCACGTACACACGAACAGATGCAGATGAAGACAGCCAGTGTAGCAGCAGTCTCTGCATCAGTAGGCCTCAGCATACACAAAGGGAAAACGAAGGTCCTCAAATTCAAAGCGGAGAACAGCAATCCAATCACCCTTGATGGCGAAACTCTGGAAGATGTAGAATCCTTCACATATCTGGGAAGCATCGTCGATAGACATGGAGGTTCAGATGCAGACGTAAAGGCGAGGATTGGCAAAGCAAGGGCCGCATTCCTACAATTGAAGAACATATGGAACTCAAAACAACTTTCAACCAATATCAAAGTGAGAATCTTCAATACGAACGTCAAGGCAATTCTACTGTATGGAGCTGAAACTTGGAGAACTACAACAACCACAATCAAGAAAGTACAAGTATTTATAAATAGCTGTCTACGCAAGATACTCAACATCCATTGGTCGGATACTACCAGCAATAGCCTTCTGTGGGAGAGAACAAACCAACTTCCAGCTGAAGAGGAAATTAGGAAAAGACGATGGAAATGGATAGGACATACATTACGCAAATCGTCAAACTGCATCACGAGGCAAGCCCTAACTTGGAATCCTGAAGGGAAGCGGAAAAGAGGAAGGCCAAAGAACACATTACGTCGGATAATAGAAGCAGATATGAAAAGGATGAATTACAACTGGAAGGAGCTGGAAAGTATTGCCCAGGACAGGGTTGGATGGAGAATGCTGGTGAGCGACCTATGCTCCTTCACGAGGAGTAACAGGTGTAAATCATGGCATCAATTATCTCGTAATATGTTCTTTAGTTTATCCACTTCGCTATCTACACTATGCTTAGAACATAATCGTTAGATTCTATAGCTGAGACATTTAACCAAGTTTATTTTTTAATAAAGAGGTGTAAAGCTATGAAGATGATTGTTCTAACCCGTTCAAGTATTCTTTCTAAATATATTTCTTTTTATGGGACCGTCTGTCCTTATAGAAAGTAAGACATCAAGGAAAACTATACTATTATCGTTCCCCTCTTTGCCGGTGAATTTAATAGCTGTGTGAATGTTGTCGAAACTATTTAACGTCTTGAGTGAATGTCAGTGGGATTTTTTACTTTGAGTTATAAACCATCAGGTAGGGAAAATGTAACTGACAAGCATTAAACTAATATAACTATCATGGAAATGGCCTCTGCATAACGGAGTAAAAGTAGTGTGCGTTGTCTGTTAATTATTATGAATGCTTTTAAGATAGTCACGTTGTATCCATTAAACGTTTGGTAGTCGCACCTGTGAAAACTTTACTTCACAAAGTTTTCGGAACATATCCCAGTAAGTTGTGTCTAAAAGGAACTATTTATATAATTAATTAAATAATAATGAGTAATTAATGAGAAGAGGACGATAAAATCTGGATAATTATATTATAGCGGCAATAAAATCCTAGTTCCTTATCACATTTCTCAAAGGGCTGTTTTATATTTTAGCCAAAACGAAATCAGCTGGGAATAAACTTAGTGATTGCACCAAAGCAATATCATCATATTATCTATAGAATTCTTTGCTGAGCAGAAAACGTATGTTCGTCGTACATCTGAGCATAGATTCTTTTAACTCTTAATGTATGAATCAACCCTTTCAATAGGAAGAGTGTTTATAGATAAAGGTACTACATCAACCGATATCATGAATTTCTTGTCTACCTTCAAATTTTTCATTCAGTCGATAAATTATCTCTCGGTAGTGTAAGGAGAGTTATTGAAATAGATATGGAAGTCATTATATGTGAAAATTATATTTGAAATAGTCTCAGCGATTGAAATTTAACTAATTCCAACGTTTCGTCCAGCTAACTTGTCTGGACTTCTTCAGGGTAATAATCAAAATCAAAATTATCAAAGCTTTGATAATTTTGATTTTGATTATTACCCTGAAGAAGTCCAGACAAGTTAGCTGGACGAAACGTTGGAATTAGTTAAATTTCAATCGCTGAGAATATTTCAAATATAATTTTCACATATAATGACTTCTCTATACTCGGCGCTCAATTACTGTCAAACTATTCGTTCTAATCTTGACGAATATTCGTATAAGATATGGAAGTCCTTTAAAAAAAACTATTTACAGACGAATGAAGACTCCCAACTTACGCTCCTGTTAAGTTATATAAATGAGTTTCCTTATCAAAGTCCTTGAGCTTCAAGAGAGAGGAATTACTAGTCTATCTGGGAACCCTCGTTATTCACATAAAAATAACAAATACTATGTCATTTCCCGCTCTGTGTATAAAAAAAATCCTTTTTTCATGTCACCGCTTTACTAACTGTGAAAGGCAACTCCAGGTCTTTTAGCTACTTACACAACGTCTTCTGTTTAATCGAAACCAAGTTCACCAATAATCCTATTGATATCATAACAGATGAAGCAATAGTAGAATCCAAGAAATAGTAAAGTGGAACAAAATTATTTAATAAGAAAGTCTTTGAAACAAAACCGAAAGCAGACTTCTAATCTGGAAGAATGCAACGAATATATATGTCCTCTTTAATGTTTGTTGATTGGCGACAATTCGCTAGGATCCCTGGATCTAGATTTTTAGTTGGTTAACACTCGTCAGTGGTCCATCAGTGTAAATGCATCAGTCACACATGAAATCAATCGGGCTAAAATCATTGTGATAAAGGTCTAGGTTATGACACGGTCGGAATTCGATTGGCAACAGCGATTTCTACAGGATTGCAGATACTTTATTCTGACTAGTGTTAAAGAGCACGGAACCTGGGTCCTGGAATTCCAGTTGTAGAATGTACCTCCGATTCCTCAACTGAGTGTTGTACCGTGACGTCAAACGACACTGAGATCTTGACTAATTCTTATACCTTTGTATGCAAATTGCTATGAATAGTTACTTTTCTTTATTGATGACCGCAGTTTGAGTAGTACTGAAAGTTCGTTCGTCATTTTAAGAAAAGGAGACATTACTAATCTGGGTCTGTGTTTTATATTTTTACCAACACACAAATACTATAGTATTATAACCATTCAAATTCCCTTACACTTTTGGAATAAGATTCCCGTACAAGTATTCGGTAAAAATGCTTACAGATAGGTGAATTAAATAAGATATCGGTGTACATCTCGATTAGAATGTTAGATGTGACATCGCATCCAAAACACTGAATGAAATTGCTTACAGGACGATTTCTTGTTTGCTGAAAGTTATTTAGCATTTGGTCTTACTGAATGCCAGTAGTTCAGATTTCCCACCTTTGACCGTAATTTCCATATAATCTGCTGATTTGAATCTTTTTCTACGAAAATCATTTAGCCTTGAACTAAGTTGATCTTAGAATATACAACAGTGAATAAATCAGTAGTGTTAATAGTAATAATTGCAGGGTAATTCATTTATGTAATTTGTCTATATTATGTACTAATGATTGTTATTTTATTGTACATCATGTACTGTAAAAGTACATTGATCTACTCCGACTTACGAACAATACAATAATTTGTTTGTCAAAAGATCCATCACGCTAGGTAACTTGATGTCATGATTCACTTATTTAGGCACTGAAAATTTTCAGCCAGTACATATAGACCTCTCTAACTAGATCCTTTAGTTATCAGTGTTCATCAGTATTTTATGGTTAAGCTGAAGAATAAAATTTAGTATATTTCGATTTTTAATTTTAATTTTTCACAGACCAGTCATATTTGAAGTCATCTCTAAAGAAAAATATTGGCAGTTCGCCGTTAACTGACAACATTTTTACAGTCAATATTAAGCAGCAAAACTTGTCAAAATCATTTGATTATTCACGTCGCATTATTTTGCCTTTTTCCGAAAGTTCAACAGATAATAACTATGAATTTATTGATCCCGCTACATCTTCAGTTCGTTCAAACGGATGTTCAGTTGAAAACTCATGGTCAAATTTATGGCGTAGTGGCCTTCCAGAGCAAAAGTTAACTGTATGGTTACCTAGACGGTATACTGAACAAGGTTGCGAACATCTTCAGTTTAGATTGAGCAAGGCTTCGAGCAGTATAAAACTAAATAAAATTAGCTTTCCTGATATAAATTTCCTAGAACTGGGTAGTAATTTGACATTGAAGACAATCCAAAAGCTCTCACCACAGATGAATATGACATCCAACAGTTATTGGGCGTCGAACACTCATTTTGCTGGTCACAGTGTTACTACCGTTATTAATAACAATAATAATAGTAACACAAATAATTCCAGACTTTCTAATAATCTTCATAAAAATGGAGATGTACACCTAATGCATCCTGATAATTCAAATAAATTAACCATAATGGGGAATTCTTATCCTGTTAATAGACCTCCAGATATCAAAGAAAAAACTTTGGCACAACTGTCTCTTATCAGAAAAGAAGAAAACTGCACAATATCAATTGATTCTGGTAAGTTAGACTATAAAGAGAAGTTTAAACCATCAGTGTATCTTACTTTGGCATATGAGTAGAGATAGCTGAATGAAACCATAGTTTACGTCAAACTCGATATACGTTCACCGTTTTAATGAGTCCATAATATCTTACTATATATAAAACCAACTAGCTTATTTTCATGATCAACCAAAATTCTTGGCTCGACAACTACCCTATGTCACCAATCAAAGTTTGCAGTTCTACTAATGCATTTTTTGTTTATGTCGTAAGAGGTCAAAATTCGCTTTATCTATGTTAGGTTGTATCTCATTCATGTTTCTGAAACAACGTGGAACTAAGTTAACCGATAAATTAATCAATATTCACAAGATTAGCAAAGTTTTTTGGATGATCGGAAAAAATAAAACAAAGATAGCCCATGTTTAAGCACATTGCTCTTACTTCATAGATTGATACAGAATATCTTTGATTAAATCTGAAGAATAATAATCTCTTCGTAAATTGTTAGTATGGGAAGTTGTGGATGTTGTTGAATTTCGTAACTTTAAATCACGAAATGACTTTAGTTAGATAGATACTGAAAACCTAGAACTGTTCAGCTATTTTGTCCTGATTTTCGACAGTTCTAAAACTGAAATCTTTATTGATAAAAGAGCATTCTTTGGAAATTGTTTTGTTTGAAGAATTCAAGCAGTTCGAAAGTTTAAAAAATGTTTTAGAAGCCTCTGTAATGCAATCTTTAAAGTTTCATGAAACGATGATAAGGTAAGACAGAAACATGATCAGGACAACTACAATTTCTCTGATGGATCAGACATTTTAATGTAATTTTATTTCAACTAGTGCACAAATATCAGACATCAAGTCACTTGCCAGTAACTTTAAGACAAACTAAATTTCCATGATAAAATAAATTGGTTTCATTATGTTCAAGATCGAGCATATTCTGATTCAAATCTACATTCAACTCGAGATTGTGGATTTTTATCAAACTGCGAGAAACTGTTAGTTGCCTAAGGCTTATTTGTTTGATATGTATAAAACATCAAACACTATTTTGTGTTGATTGAACATTATTTTTAATACAATAAACAAGAAGTAATAATATGCTATCAACATTGGATACATCTTGCCTTCCCGGTTAATGCTTGCTCGGTATAACACGGATGCTAAAGTTACCTATATTATTCTTTATTTTCATATTTACTGGAAAGTATCATATCAAGTAACACTACTAGATAATTTACAGTTTAAAACATTAGATTTGAAGAAAAGTATGTTTTCGAAAATAAATGTGCTATGATTTTGATAAGATAAAAAAATTAACGTGTTAGGAAGTCATAATTATGTTCGCTTGAACTATTGAAATTATGTAATACAAATGTAGTTAACTAACCTGAAATATTGTCGAAAATAATTGATACTACTAGCAAGTAATTTGTTTGATTGTTGACCTGAACACCAATTGAAATTGTCATACAGAGAACTGCAAATGAATTAAGTTAAAAATACGTGAATATATTTGTAAAGAAGTAATTTAGACGGGAATAATCTTTAGATTTGTAAATGTGTAACCGAATAAAACATTGTTTCAACTCCATCAAACATAGAAAATATCCATTTCAACTCGTGATTCATTAAACCGTTATTTGAAACCTACTTAAAGAATAACGTCTAGAATGTGCTTATTTTCTGTAATCAAACATAATTCTCATAACTAAGAAGATCCACAAATTAATGTGGAATTCCTCTTTGACATTAGAAAGCATACTAAATACAAACATGTCTAAATCCCAGGCACAGTCGAAATTATCATAGGTATGGAAAATGTTATAAATTTACTTGAACACTATAAACCGTATACGTTCTATGTAAAGTTTCAGCAAATTTTCCAGCTACTGTTTTAGTTTCGAGTAATGATTAGTTTACTGTTTGCATTCCTAATATATCTTTTATTACGATGAATCTATAGTGTGATTTCTGTCCAGATGTTCTTGATTTGTATTATGTGAATGGAGTAAATGGATTAATGACCAATGAAATATAGAATGCAAATACCATACTATTAACCTATTTTTCCAGTATAAGGAATTTTTCAACAAAGATAAATATGTTTTCCGACTTCTTAAAGAATATGAATGCTCTTTTTCATAGCCCTTTGGTACTGACCTAAAATATTATTGAATGCAGTAAAAACAAGGAAACTGTTCAGAAGAAACGAGTTAAGAGAAGGAAATGAATTTCCAAATATATACTTATGTATTGTTGACATCTACTTTGAACTATATCACTGAAAATCTCAATTAATTGACTTATCATACATGATCATATGGTGTTGCTGTCTTTTTTGGAGAAACGGCCGTCCAGTGCTTTCAGGTTTTCCATGATGGTTTAGCTTCAGTTGACTCATGAATTCAACTATTAACAATATTCAATAACTTATAAAAATACAAATTTTCAATAAAAATAATTATATGCCTACTTAAATGAATATTCCGTGGATTTATCTACTATATTGTTCCTGGAATACTGAACAAACATCTCAGATATTGTCAGAATAAATTGAAATGATCAATCGATTAAAAAGTGTACGAAACTTAAATCTATTTATAAGCCTAATTTATTTATTACTTTTCCAGCTATCCTTATGCGTAGCAATACTAAGCTATTTCAAGATCCCCATAATTATCTTCTGAATGCAACCATATGATGTTGTACAAACAAACCAATACATTATTCAACGTGCTCTCATCTTGAGCACTATAGTAATATGACGCCTCAACAACTACTTGACACACTTAAAAGTATCTGAGATATTCTCTACTCATTTATGGCTACTTGATATAAGAATAATATTTGTTAATTCTACTAAGGTCTAATGTTTTACAAATAAGGGCTTAGCACACAATATGATTACATATACATGTGAATTAGATATTTCTAAAGGCTACATATTAATTCATATGACGTTATCACGTTTTCCTCATGATTGGCACAAGATGATTCAATCAATAATAACCAAAAGCCATCAGATGTATGCGTCATCTAAACTGCAGGAGAATGTATCAGATAGAATGCAATTACAAATTTTTGTAACGTAGTTTAAGCTTATTTGGTAAAACAACAAATTTATTCACCTAATTTAATTTGGGTGAATTGAGGTGGTGAGATTAAATTAAGCAACCATGTATAATTTTAATTATAAATTAGGCATACAAAGTGACTATATTTAATCCGGTTTGTAGATTTTAAACTTGTTTCTAGCAGATTCCAAACTAAAGTACTGTAAGAATTTTGAGACATTGTGTATTATTTGTCTTTCATTATTCACACAACAAAGAAGGCGAGGTACGTATTCTACTCCCAGTACTACCAACAACCAGTTCATTAATAACAAAAACGACGATACATTTATAATATCTCAATGAGTAAAAAATTCAATTTTTGATGTTCGAGTCTTAGTGTCAGTTGCTTTTTTAGAGAATAAGTAGCCAAGTTTAAATAGTTAATAGGAAACAAAGTAGAATACTTTTACTAAGTAAGAACCCGGATCCGCCAGCTCTCGCAGCAAGAGCTTAGCTTTTAAACCACTGGGCTAACATCTATTGGTTTACAAGCCTAATTTATCATTTATCTTTGGCATTGTCTGCAGACCACTCATCTGCCTCTAAAATGTAGACGATAAACTTATCATCACTTAAGGTACTGTCTGAAACTTTCTTAAGCTTAATTACTACGTTCTCAGATCACATCAAATTCACCTTCGAGAAGGAACATGTACTAAGTAAATTATCATTTTTAGACTGCTTAGTCAAAAGGAATTCTAACAGAAATCTAATCATCTACCGAAAAACTACTTATTCCCTTCGATTCATCGTTCACAACTTTTCACATCCATTTGATGCGAAAATTCCCCTGGCTCTAAATTCATGCACACGAGCCACCGAAATTATTACACCAGGAGTAAAACAAGTGGAACAGAAGAATATCATCAACACTTGAATTTTGATAATTTTCCCAAGAAGATAATTTCAAATTTACTAAGGCGAAATAATCTATTATTGAATAATTAAAACTCAAATGAAATATCATGAGTTGGTACCGTATTTTTAAAACACTCCCATGATACAACAGAATAACTACAACAAATTATTAAATCACACCGAATTATAGGTTTTTATAAAATAACTAACACTTCGAAATGCTTTAGTTCGAGTAAAGAAAAAATCCTTTAAACATCTAGTCAATGGTGTCTACATATCAGGACGTGTCGAATCAGATGCTTTTTATGTTGGAGACCAATCTTTTAAAGTTGTGGCTATAACCAAGGAACATCTAAGCCACACAAAAGGACTTCCCAATAATACTGAGGCACTCGAGGACCTTTAAATCAAATTTTCATTGTAGTACATGCTAATCTCAAAAACCATCAAATCAATATTAGTAATATGAAAGCAATTTGAAAATGTTTTCTCAACTATAAAGAAAGGTGAGTGGCTGCAACTTTTTGTAAATCCCTAAATCCTAGTGCTGCCGAGATAGAAAAGTCTAACTGTTCATACAACCTGGACTGTTTATCACATAGCATTAAAATGATCAAACTCATTTTGATTAAACTAGAGATACTCTGCTTTGTTTCTTATTTATTATTTAAACTTTTATTTATTCAACGGGATTGCTTTCATTATGACGCAGAACATCAGAAATTAAGTTTTTTATTCATTGTGATACTACAAGTTTATCGTAATTTTTATTCTAACTATATACTAGATCCTCAATTTATTTGAAATTGTCAAGTCAAACCTTAGTAATAATACTTACAAACCAATTAAGCACCATGATTGGTTTTTAAAATGTTGAGAATTGTAATTTTCACTGATATTCCTTGTCAGTTTAAAATCACTCAGAATCAATATATCTAGTTAACGGATCTAGGTATTATGTATTATTGGACCTGCTATATTACATTCAACATACATCTACATAATCATTGTTTGCATTTCCTAGTCTCCAAAATATATATTAGACATCACTGGGAATTTATTCTGTGATTATTTTTATTAAGTTTTTGATTGAGATCTTGAACCAATTGATGTTAGACCATCACAATTGAAAACCTGGAAGCACTGGACGGCCGTTTCGTCCTATTGTGGGACTCCTCAGCAGTGCGCATCCACGATCCCGCGAGCGGGATTCGAACCCAGGGCCTTCGGTCTCGCGCGCGAACGCTTAACCAACTGGACAACTGAGCCGGCATCCAATGGTGATAGTTTCTAACATCAACCAATCCACGAAATTGCGCGACCAACTTCCATTGTACTTAAGTAGATAACTGTCTCTACCCGACAAGGATTAGCTCCACTGGTCACGGCTTCTCACTAGAACTCCTAGAATTCAAAGTGCTCTGTAGCCTTATGGACGAGTTAGTTTCGTGTAAAAATCCACAAAGCTTTCTCTTAAATCTGATTCGTTGATCTAAAAGGTTTGGTTCCAGCAGGTAAACGTTTGTTTCGTGATTAGGAGTTTTGATTTAGGTATAGTGTTGATTTGCATGTTTTATAAAATCTACGAAGGAATAATTGAGGACCTGATGCGTCCAAAGCTATCATTTTTATTCTATTTTAACAGAAAATAATTTCTTGTTTTCTATGTACGTTTTCTCGGTACTATACAAAGGTTAAAGCTTATTTTACGTATGCTTTGAAATTTGCTCAAAAGAACCCCAAAAGTCGATATCTCAATTCTTATTGCCTCGTTCTTAGATTTTAATTTTATCGGCACCAATAATACCCATATTTTCTAATCGTATTACGGCACATAGATACTGTGATGAATTGATGAGGTTTCAAGAAATCTTGAGTCTCAACAAATGACCTGACCAAGAAATCTAACTCATTCCCCTTATGTTTAATCAAATGTAATAAAAGATCCAACCAACCTGATCAAGCGTTCACTTAATTGTAATCTATTCGCATTACCACAGATTTGCGTACATTTAAGTAATCGAACATCAAAAGTGATCATTATTTTCCAAAGAATTAGATTCATGTAACAATTTCTTTGAGCATCAACATGTGTTAGTTGATTATGATTACTTCCCTTACTTTAATGTCACGATTTTTGTCATGAGTTCAAAAATATTTGATTAATGTATACGTGTAATCGTTATTAAAAAACGTGCCATATATATGTGCATGGGACACTTGCTTCACGTTTATTCACGAAAAGATAGTTTATGATTAATTATCCTGGTAACAACCCATAACGCGTTAAAATAACCAATTAAGGTCGAAAGAGCAAGAAAAAAAGTAGTTTTACATTTGAAAAACAGTAATCACTTTATGATGTTTAAAAAACGGTGAAATGATAAATTTTTTTTGAACTGTAGTTCTATGAATTCAAATCAGATTAATCCTTTTTATCGTAGAATGTTTATGATACTATGTGCGAACTGGTATACACTTTACTAAACTAACTGGGAAACAATAAAAAAAACAGCTAGGATATACATTCTCACTTGAGTGGTAATACGATTATAATTATAATTACAATAATAATAATTATTGTTATTATCAATATTATTATTGAGAATAACTCTTTATGAGAGAAATAAATTTTTCATTTTGATATAAATCACCGACAAACACTGTTATTTTAAAAGAGACTTCATGAGAGATTTACTTACCTAATCTTTTCCTCCTGCCATCTCCAAACCCTTGTATTTGTTCTTCAGAAAAATCTTTTGTAAATGAATATATTTGCCATACAATCCTATGGAATCTTCATTCTACTGAAATCCATCATCTACTGTAATTTTTTAGTCTCAATAATATGTTTTAAACTTTTAGACTGTTAAACCATATTCCTTTAATGACTGACCACAAAAATTAAGATGAATAAATGTGTCCAGGAAGGTTGAAACAATTTTTTTTAATTACTGACAGATTGCATTTTATATTCATCTAGTAGTGATCTAAAGATCAGTCCTGGATTATAAAAACGCGCCATGTAGACGATATCTGACAGTCTAATTAAACTTATAACCCGACATGTAGTTTGTAAGTCAGCCTATTAAGAATAATTAACGCAACATCATCATGTGGTTTGTCGTATAACAACGTAAAACAGTAGGTACGAGATACCCAATGAGTTTAAAAACATTTTGGGTTTTATAAAAAAAAACTTACTTTTATATGGTTTCTTAATAATTAATTTTTCTTTTTTAATAAGTCCATTGATAGGTTCCCTAAGTTTTTTTGTGGTTAAAATGCTTCGGTAATTATATTTATTGTTAAATTAACAGCAACGGTCAACTAGATTTGATCTTAACCGTTCATATTCTTCATCAAAAGTCGGAACAAGATCTAATATTTGACCAAACAGGTTCTCAAACTGAATATCTGGATCTGAATGTTGTAAATGGTTAGGAATACCACAAATTTCATACTTAAAGTTAATACTTCAATTTTTTCTTTATTTCTTTAGTTCAGTAGTCGAAAAACTATGAGTATACCTTTTAGGTTCCGTTGCGAATTTGTTTCCAACTGGTTGATTTTCCACGCTTTTGAATAACTGGATAAGCTTTTTATCTGCTTTTTATCTAGTCACTTTTGTAATGCGGTCTATGAACAGATTCTTAAAGCCATCTGTAAGCCTCTCAACAGCGAATTTTCTGCGAGTAATATTCATTTCTATGATCAGTATATCAGTATTAAATAAATTAGTCTGGTTCAGTGGATAACGTTTAAATGCTTTAACTTTTCTTAGATGTATTTGCCTAGAACTTGCCTATCACTATGGGACATTAATACAGATTTAAAACTGTAGAACATGTACTGAAAAGAATATTGTTCCTTTATAATGCTAATAGTTTCATCGAAGTAGACATGGTTTTATCTTCGATAATTTATCTTGACGTTGAGGAAAAATGACCAGAAAATGAAGAATAACTTTGAAGACAACAACAAGAACTTGGTCATAAATAAAACCTACATCAGTCATTACATTCATACAATAATATGGTGTAACAATAGAATTTCAAATAAAACTATTTAGAGATTACACCTTGTTTTATTACCGTTCATTGTTAACACAATTTCATGAATGTTGATAATCTTGTAGGCATCCTATTCAGTCTCTTGTATCATCATACTTTTTCTCAGATTGACAGGTAATTCATAAACGTCTATCATTCTTCAAACAATTTTCTCAATAAAAAAATACAGCACAAGTAAAAGTGCACGTTGTTTTGAGCAGGTGAAATACATTGAATCTCTTACAAATTACATGATTTTTCAGGTTGAGCTGCAGTTTTACACATTTGTGATGTCAAACCAATAATGATGTATATTTGTTAAGTAAATACCATTATACACATAAATAGTTTTTTCCATTTCATAGTAAACATACACAATATGAAAGTACTTCATTGTCAAATAATTATGGAAATATTAATATTTATTACTTACTTCAACAAAAACATCTATTCACTGTATTTTTCAGGTACCAATGTGAAAGGTTATATGGATCCGATGGTAGGCGCACCAATAGAATACTTAAATCGTATAAATGAACTGTCGAAACTACAGGCGATTACCAAACGTTGGGAACGTACTCGATGTCGTCGTCGGATGAAGAAAGATATGAGCATTAACAAATCAGTTGCGGATTCAATTAAATAATTAAATATGATTGTGTTACATTTTTCTACCTTTTGTAAACCGATATAAATGTTTTTAGGATCCAAAAACTGTTTTTCATTAGTCGATGTTTCAACTTTGAGGATAAGAAAACAAACCTTGATCTCCTGAATAACTGTGACGCAGTTTTTTTCTGTTATAAGTTAACAGATGAAAATTAAAAGAACCACCCAGCTTTTAGCTTCTAAGGAGCAGCTTCTCAGTAGTTCTTCAAGCCGTCAAAATGAATCACAGTTTACACTGGGTGTGTGTATAAGGCACTCCTATAGTCTTATTAGGAGTCTGTGATTTGTTAAATTTTTGATGCCACCTTATCATGGACATATGAATGGTAAACTTACCGTATCCAAGCTACAAAAATGTGATTGGTCAGCAGGATGCTCACTCACTGCGTTAGGCAATTCAGTCAGAAAACGAAGTTTATCATAACTATGGGATGTAGTAGAGCAATATATTTAGAATAATCTAATTGGATATTAATTAGTGGAACATATAAATAAGAAATAAATCGATCAAACTAGATAAATCCTAACATAAGAACGATAAGGGCTATAAGGAAAAAGCATTGACCACACTATTCTTGATGTTAAATTGAAATCAGGATAGGTTTAGCAAACAAAGTGATCTTCGATACACTAAGGTAGATCGAATTTTTATATGCCTACGACTTCAACAAATCAAAGTATTCTCACACAATTTTTATACAATACTATGAAGGCTGAGCTTCGATCGATTCTATTACTTGTTTCAACCGTATATTTAGTAGCAGAAAAGAGTGGTTTCGCATCATCCTGCTTTATCGGATTACTTGAATTTATTTGTTTTTGTAACCACATTTCACTAACTTGCACATTACGATTACTCCTTTATGTATGTTTAGCTGCACACACATTAGGAATATGATGTAATCGTTTACATGCGGTTATGGAGTTTTGATGAAAAATAAAGATTGTTTTCCAGTTATGATGAGAAAGTTCTGTTTGTAGGTGATATGAACCATAGTCTCACCATAAGACTATTTTAGTAGGGTGATGCAGGTTGGTGCTAAATGCGTAGCATGTCTCAACATTTTACAGCCTTTCCATTGGTTTATGAATTGTAATGTGACTTATGTTTTCCTAGTATCCATCTGTTGGCATTAGCATCATGTTATGATCATACATAGGATCGGGTAACATTGATCTTCTGTTAGTTTCTGTCATGTACTTTATCAATATTAATATTGAAATTTTATTACTATTTAGGTATATCTAGACTTAACACAATCGTACAGGAATCAGTTGTTGTAGCAATCACTTTTCAAACTTCAAAAAATAGTACTCAATATAGCAAATATGTAGTTACAATATCTACGACAGAGTTCGTGAACTTTTCTGTATTTTCCCTGTTTAACAGCCATAACATCTCAAATAGTAGTTTATTAGTTTTGAAGCTCAGACATCGCTTCCGATTTTTCTCCATCGGCTGTGAACACTGAGTAAAACGTACTAAAGTATGGTAGTATAAAATGTTTGAACTAGTGTTGGAAATTTTGAGGTTGAATTCAACAAATATTGTGTAATACATATATCTGTTTAATCATACTTCCTAACAGGGATCCAAGTTTGATTGAGACTCGCATTCGTAATCATCATTTTCGTCAAAAATAATAATAATCATCATTGAATTCAATTTTAAACCGTTGAATAATTTGTTAGGTTGCTTGAGAATTCCTTACATACTACGTCGACATTGCTGAGAACTGAACATATCAGCAGGTTTCTCTGTGGTTAAGAAAAGTAGTTTTTGTAGCTTGTAATTCAGTATTGACTGAACCAAATAATAACGCCATTCTTTCTTGTGTAGTTGATATGTTCAGATAGTTCATTTCTTCCATTAGGCGTGCCATATATAATCTATTAAAAATAAGTAAAATAATTAAATCTTCATGGGGTGGTAAAAATTCGTCTTATTTTCGAAATATTCTGGAAAGTGCACTAATAAAGTTATAACTTGTGTTCCATTAATATATAACGTAATGATACCACCAATTAGAGAACAGCGACATATCGACCAGACCAATGACGCGTAAACCCGTACGAGTGGTCTAGAAACCTTATCAGACCGTCTCCCTGACTAGCAATGCCTGTTGAGTCCAAAACACCAATCTCAGCCTCTGAAATATGAGTCATGTATTTCAAACATACTGTATTTATATGCAAACCAAACAGACCACATCTCACCACAAAATAGAAAACAATATTTGTACAAGATCTGGCCAAAAGTGTCTGTGAATGTGGGAGATTGTAATTAATAGACTGAGCATAATTCAATAACAGTGAATCGCATAATAATAGTCTATGGGTCAAGACAAAGCTTATAATAGGAGGAAATTGAATATGCATAGTTTAGTTACATAACAACTATACAATAAAAATATATGCATTGTATTGGTCCATAAATAGTTCTCAAAATATACCACTTATAGTTCCCGTCGGGTTATAACACGTACTTTTTGTGTAAATTAGGTGATTTGTTCATACTGAACGAACTGTTTATCGTAGGAGTTTTCTTAGCTATTTGCCTTAAAATATACATTTAACAGTGAAGACATATTGTATGCAAGAAAACTAACCAAGTATTTCCCCATCTATTCTTAAAGTACCTTATTAATTTATTGTTAGCTCCATGAGAATAGATATGAGATTGAAATTTTTAAAAAAAATATTTCAAATAATTTTCTGGCAAAACGTATTTTTCATTTAAATCATCTGATCATTTTGAGATTTTTAATTAGATAAAAATGTGTAGTTTCGTTTCATGAGGATTATCACCTGAAAATGATATCGGTAACATATCATTAACGAATATTGTTTATGCTCTATTTATCTGTTACATTCATATGTATTTTCTTTGATACAATGGTAAACTCATTACAGAATTCACTGGTCTACACAACGGTTCTTTTTTACGTGTTTGGAACTCTATATTTTAACAAATATTTTGGTCATTCAAGATATTTTTTCTAATAAAATAGCATTTAGATGTATGCTAATTATTTGCTGGTAATGTGAATATATTTCAACTGTCTCAAATCTAGGAAGTTCCAGTTAATTAGTGAAAACGCTCGATCAATGTAATGCCTCACTATTAATGATTTTTCTGTGTTCATCACTTCAAAGTATTCTGTTTTACTGATATCCCCGAGATACTTCCTAAAACACGATATTATTGATTTACTGAACCAACAATGAATGAACAACTTAATAAGGGCCACTTTAAACTTACCACAAACGATGGACTCAATCTTGTGCGAAACCTTTTTGTACCGATATTTGACCTCTTGGTCTTATTTAGAAGATCATCGACCATTTAAAAAGATTTCATTCCTCAAATGTATGCTGCAATTAAAGTCACCCATGAGAATGATGGTTATTTGATATTTAATTCTAAGATCTGACTTTTAACTATCAGTGTCTCCTCATAATCTTCAGTACCTTCATCACCCCCGGCCTCTTTCATTTATAAAAGATTCATTTGAAACATATTACGCAGAAAGTCATGGTTGTGGATAAGTAGTATAATATTGGTTAATTCAGACACACAATAATAGGATTCTACATGCTTACTTAGTAGATTTTAATGTAATCGCATAGCTTGGCAATAAGCAATTTATTCTCCTTACAAGAAATATCTGTAAATAACAAATATATGTCATCGAAAAATGTTGTCTCACCAGCAAAATCTTAAGAACAACTTCAAAATTCATAAGTCTTAAAACTACCGTAGACTTCCTCAACCAAACCTCCTTGGTTAATCTATTTACGCAAATTGACTGTAAGCCGAAAAGATTGACAGTATATTAAAATGGAACTAGTGTTTCAGAATCATCAAGGTGAAAGATTTGGGGCACCCAAAAGCAAGTAGAGGTAATGCTAATTTGTGAAGATAACGTCTTGGGATATCGATGAGCTCCTTAAACAACAATTACGCATTATTTACATTGTTTCATTGACGAAAATTAAAGAAACTTGTGTAAGTATTAGCGACGTGAACATTTGATAAACTACATAATCGAAATATTCAGCCGTACATCCGACATCATGTGCCCTTCACATCACACTTTTTTTTAGTTAGGGACTACTTAACACTTTCGTAAATACTTATTAATAGCCACAATTCTAAAATAATATTACTTTAAAATTAATTTGAATATCCAGTAAGCTTTGGTCAGTAGTTCAAACTAACTAAAACTAAGAAGACAAAGGCAAACAAAGAACTAAATTTATCTCTTTTACTAAATAGGGAATTTATTTACAGTTGATTTATCACTGAGTGGTGATCAATGTCGTGTGTGTCTGGTCCTTCTTAGTGCACATCGAATCCTATCGACCAAAATACAATATGGACACTGGTCTAGATGACTCGACATTTCGTGTACTACGTTGAGATAAGATGGTGGTTGAAGTTAGTCAACAGGAAACCCTGGACCTAGGTTTCGTGCTACTTGGCACTCGTCAGCATGGTGTACCTGTAATCTTAAGGGAATCGATACTCCTTGAGAAAGAACTGGCACACATGACACCGATCACTACCCAGCGACCGGCGGATTGTAAATACATCTTAGTTCTACAGGATGTCAGTCGCTTAGTGGTAACGTGTCTGACTGTTAAGCTGGGTGACATGGGATTAGATTCGTCAACGGGGTGGATTCCGTAAGGATCGGTCGTTCACAGACCAAGTTGTGACACTATGGATCATCGTTGAGCAATCAATTGAATGGAACTCATCACTACACATCAACTTCCTCGACTGCGATCAAGTATATGACAGAGTGGATAGGCGAAACTTATGGAACCATCTTCGACATTATAATGTACCTGCGGAGATCGTCAATATCACACGGAATTCATGAGACAGACTACACTGCAAAGTCGTGCATCGGGGCTTGCTCCCAAATATATTGAAAGTGAAGACTGGTGTCAGACAAGGCTACTCACCTTCACCTTTCCTCTTTCTCCTGGTAATTAGCTGAATACTGATGATCGCCACATCTGAGGGAAAGC